TATTTCAGTTTTTTTCACGTCATTTTTACCCTTGGCTTTTGATGATCTCTTACCAGATCCTGAATTTGATCTGTAGCATTCTTTGCATCATAAGTCAATGAAAAATGTATGTAATGGTTTTGCTTTTTATTTATTTATTTTATTCACATAGATCTGTTTTCAACTTGGAGCCCTGGTGGCAAAGTGGTTAAGAGCTGGCCTGCTAAGTAAATGGTGGGCAGTTGGCAATTCGAATCCACCAGCTGCTTGGAAACCCTATGGGGCAGTTTTACCCTGTCCTATAGGGTCATTGAGTTGGACTCCACTCGCCGACAATGGTTTTTTTGGATTTACGACTTGCTCTGACCTTCCCTGGAAGGTGTGAGTTGAGTAAGACATTTCGCAGTGGAAAAATATGGAACTAAAGCTTGGGTTTTCTGGTGGCCATCTCAAATGCCCTCTCCCTTTGCCTGGGTCATGAGGTTTTAACATTCAAATCCTGGAATTTCCCTGAATTTTGTGATTTCTATTCAAAAGTTTCATTAAGGAAATTGTATTTACATGAACCGTGTTTAAGTTTTAGAGTATGGCCAGTTTGGGTTTTGTTTTGTTTTGAGAATTTATTTGTGAGGATTTTTTTTACATAAATGGAATCATACTATACATATTTATCCTCAACTTTCTTACTCTTTCTGTTCTAAGCCCTTGAGTTGTGAGGTCCATCCAGTTCACTTTGATGGGGTTGAGGGAGGGGTTGCATTGTGCTGGGGGCCTTTATGGGGGAGCAAACTAGTCCCTAACCAGTTTGTAGGAGCCTGGATGTGGCACATACAGTTAAATGCTCAACTACTAACCAAAAGTTTGGCGGTTTGAACCCACTCAGAGGCGCCTTGGAAGATAAGCCTGGTGATATGCTTCCAAAAGGTCACAGCCTTGAAAACCCTATGGAGCAGTTCTACTCTGCACACATGGGTTTGCCATGAGTCAGAATCAACTAGCTGGCAACTAACAACAACTGGTCTGGAGGCCCCCTTAGAAGCCCTTTTTTTCCTCTGTATCCTTTTCCTGCCTCCCCCTCTTCCCACCTCTCATCTTCTCATCCTCGCATTTATTTAGTGATAAAGATTCCTTGTGCCACAATGGTTAAGTGCTTGGCTGTAAACTGAAAGGTCAGTTGTTCGAACCCACCAGCCACTCTGGTGGGAGAAAAGACCTGGCAATCTGCTTCCATAAAGATAACAGCCTAGGAAACCCTATGGGGCAGTTCTACTCTGTCATATAGGGTCACTATCGAATCGAGTAGACAACACATAACAACAACAATTTAGTGAGAAGCTACAAACTTCACTGCCCCCAAGAGATCTTTCAGTCAAATGTATCTGAATTAGTAATAGTTAGAAAAATGTTCCAACCACAGGTGATAATTTTAGCTTAGCTACTGTCATGGATTGAATTGTGTCCCCCAAAATATGTGTCAACTTGGTTAGGTCATGATTCCCAGTATTGTGTGGTTGTCCTCCATTTTGTGACTGTAATTTTATGTTAAAAAGGATTAGGGTGGGATTGTAACACCTTTACCCAGGTCACATCACTCATCCAATGTAAAGGGAGTTTCCCTGGGGTGTGGCCTGCACCACCTTTTATCTAACAAGAGATGAAAAGGAAGTGAGCAGAGAGGGGGGACCTCATACCACAAGAAAGCAGCACCAGGAGCAGAGCACGTCCTTTGGACCTGGGGTCCCTGTACCTGAGAAGCTGCTGGACCAGGGGAAGAGTGTTGAGAAGGCCAACTGAGAGAGAAAGCCTTCCCCTGGAGCTGATGCCCTGAATTTGGACTTTTAGCCTACTTTACCGTGAGAAGTAAATTTCTCTTTGTTAAAGCCATCCACTTGTGGTGTTTCTGTTATAGCAGCGCTAGATGACTAAGATAGCTACTGACTTGGGTTTCCAAATCTCTGGCTTCATATCCAAAAATTCCTACAGCAATATTACTTGCTACATTTTTTGAAATTTCTCCTGTATAAAATACTATTTTCCCCTTTGTAGGGAGAGAATTTCTGGCCTTTGAAATTGTCGTTTCTCAGAAGCTGAGTACCTGAATAAATGAGCCAGTAATACAGTTTGGCAAATGTTACATCTTTTTGGCTAATAACAAATCGCAAGTTTTAGGACCAGATTAGAGTGCTGATCTGGTTCAACATGTATCTGATTCATATCCTAGTTAAAATGCAGCCACAGATAACATCAGTCTGACCATACAGTCTAGTGACTTGAAAGCCTGCATTCCACAATAAATACCTATTCTTATCATGGCTGACAAATGGAAATCCCATTTAACTTGAGTGATGCTGTGAATGACATTATGCAGGAAGTTAACATATCTGAGGTGGAATGATGATGATAGTTCATTCATCCTACCCCATGTATTTGCATGTCACTACTGTCAAAGTCCTGGAGCCCTGGTGGTACAGTGGTTAAGAGCTCAGGCAGCTAACCAAAAGGTCGGCAGTTTGTATCCACCAGCCACTTCTTGGAAACCCTATGGGGTAGTTCTACTCTATCCTTTAGGGTCACTGTGACTATGAGTCAGAATTGACTCAATGGCAGCAGGTTTTATTGTCAAAATGCCTCTTCCAAACAAAAAAATAATTTACCTTGCAAGCTTTAATTCTACAAAAGTGATACATATAGTGTAATTTTTCCACTGAAAACGAACCTTCATATATGTAAGATGTTCTCAACTGACACTTTTTACAGCTTAATTATTATTTAAATTATATAGAAAAACAACATAAAAGAAAGGTATTTGCCACCAGGATTTAACAAATACTAACATTTTGCTGTTACTTCTGATCTTTTTTTTTTAAAATTGGATATACATGGGGAGCTCTATCCCTTTCAGAGCCTGATTTTGATCTGTATTAATTTTCAGGTATCATAAATCAATAAATATATACAGTGGTTTTGCACTTTTTGTTTACTTTGCATATTGTACTGTTTTCAATTCTTGCCCTTCCTTAACACTCCCTGAGAAGTTTGAGCTGAGTAAGATGTTTCCTAGTGGAAAAATGTGGGACTAAAACTTGGGTTTACTAGCTGCTAACTCAATGCTCTCTCCCTTTGCCTGGGTCATAAATAAGCTTATAACATTCAAATCCTGGAGATGTTTAAATGTCATGAAGCAACTTCTACCAAAATATAGCTATTAGCTCCCGACTGGAATTGCTTCATCAGGACTCTCTTCAAGATGGAGTTTCACGTACAGCTGCCTGCTCTAAGTGTAGGGTTCCATCAGCTCTAACATGCTGAGAGAAAAGCACTCATACTTCAATACTTTCCAAAAATATACACTAGTAAAAGGATATAGGGACCAAAGCTCTGAAAAAGAACAAAACAGTCTTTCCCAAGAGCAGTACTGAAATTAGTAATGTGCTTGCTGGTTCTGTGTACACTGACTAACCATGGCTTCTGTTCCAACTTGTTGGATAATAGCGAAAGCTTCGTCAGGACAAGCTCACAGGGGATGGTGTGAAAAGGATATACCACTGAGGCGTTGCTGAGTGGACAAGAAGCCAAAAAGTTGAGAACCAACCACTGACTCAGCACATTAGCTGAGTGGTTTGCTTACTTGAGCATGAATACTGGAGACTCAAACTAGGTTACAAAACTACAAAGTGACTCACAAGTTAGCAATCCAATTGGCCAACAGTTGCGTGTAAAATTGATCCAGAAAGCATCGTACAATTATTTTACTCTTTGCTGGATAATTTTCGGTTAAAAATTCATTACAGTTCTAAGGGGGGAAAAAAAAAACCAAACCCGTTGCCACTGAGTCTCCGACACTATAGAACTGAGGAGAGTTGCCCCATAATGTTTTCAAGGAGCGGCGGGTGGATTTGAACTGCCGACCTTTCTAGTTAGCAGCCAAATTCTTAACCACTACACTACCAGGGTTTCCAAGGAAAATACAGAGGGGGAAAAATATATATATTCGCCAACGTTTTACATAGTTTTTAGACATCAGATGGAATTACGAGTTGAATGCACAAAAATCTGGTTCAGTTGTGCGAAGATAAAACCTATCAGTACGTCTTTGATAGACAAAAACAAACAAGCTGTTTACTACTATCAGACACTTTCTAAGCTTCCCCATGGCCCTATTGGATAGGTTTTGTGTTACAGATGTAAAACTAAGGCATAGAGAGGCCAAGTAATTTGCCTAAATATACAGCTCAAAAGTGGTGAGCTGGAGCAGCGTTTTGAACTTGGCAGTTTGAGCCCTGCTCTACACTGCATGACTTCTGTTAGGTGGGTTATAGAAAACCTCAGTCTGAATCTCACCTCCCCCAGCTGTGTGATCTTGGGCAGGTCATGGCACTTCCACTTTTAAAATAACTCGTTGCCGTAGATTTCAGACTCGTAGGAAGATTTTCTCTTCCTCACAGGATTATTTTGCTTCACCACACGATTGTGCGTGTAAACGGACTTCGGGAACTGTAACGAGTTTTTTCAGATGCAAAATTTAATATGTGACCTTGCATGAGTGTTTGACTTGTTTTGAATCTCATCTGCAAACTGAAGATAATCACGGCATGCCATGTGGTTATTTTGAAGAGGAAATGAGACAACGCATGTAAAGCATGTAATGCATGAATGCACAATCCCTGGAACACAGAACTCAGTAAAAACGCTAGCCATTCAATGTACTTCGTTTTCAGTTTTTTGGTTCATGTAGAAAGATCGTAATAAACCTCCTGATGAGTGCCCCTAGGAAGCGGGTGTGAAATAATGTCGCAGAGGACAGAGAAATGGATGAACTACCTTACTTTTCTTTTAATCATTTTCTTCCTGACCCCAATTTACAGGCAGAAGGCTGCCGCCAGTGGAGCTGGGTTACCTGGCCTTAACTACGATTCCCAGGTAACACTCCCACGGATCGCGGCTAAGGAGCCGGCGAGCACTGCGCTTCCGCCCGCCAGGGGGCGCTCAGCCCGGCACCAGCTCCCAGTAGGGCCGGGGGCGGGGGAGAGGCGGAGCTCGGCTGGCAAGATGGCGCCGTCCACGTTGCTGCGCCGTTTTTCCGGGTTGCTGGCCCCGGCTCGGCTCCCGAGCGGCCGTGAGTGTCCCTCCTTGCACAAGCAGACTCCAATCCCCCGGGTGTCTCTCCCAGGGCGAGCCTGGTTGGCCACAGTAGGGGGCGGCTGCGGCTTGGCCTCGCCCTGCCGTGACCTTCGCCGGCCCGAGGTCCGGAGCCCACGCCTGCCCCCACCCCGGACTCCGCTCTCTATCACCCACTGCCGACCCACCTCCAAGCGCTACCCGACCCCTTTATGGCCTCAGCGAAGGAACTTTGGGTTTCCACTCCCCACCCCACCCTCCTTCTGCAGGTTCATTCTTGTAGATGCGGTGAGGGGAGACCCTCTTGAAGGCGCTTCCTGCCCGCTCACTCCCTCCGGAGTCTCAGGGTCCGGGAGCCCTTAAACGAGACTGTGAAGATGTCCTGCAGGGCCGGGATCTGTTTGAGTCTGTTTTCTTGGCTGTTGAAGTGGGGCATTGAAGAGAGAATTAAATGCGATAAAACACGAAAATGTTAGTTTTTTTGCTACTAGGCAGTATGTTACAGATTTACATACTCTCACTGTTCCCTTTCAGTTTTAGCTCGGTCGAAGTTCTACGTTCGCGAGCCACCGAATAGCAAGCCTGATTGGCTGAAAGTTGGACTCACTTTGGGTACCACAGCCTTCCTATGGTTCTATGTAAGTACTTTACTGTCCTGAAACCCCAATAGAGTAGGTGGAAGGAATATCAATGTGACCGTAAATGTTGTTGCTAGCGACTCCCATAAAGTTGGAGATTTTTGTAATCGCTAATAACATGTATCTCCATAGAGGAAATCCCAAGGACTAGAAAGAAATACTAAAATTTTACTGGCCTAGAGAAAGTATGATGAGGCTGAAATTTCTGTCATTCATTGTTACAAGCATGGTTTTATAAGCAATTACAGGTTTACTAAATATTTACTAAGTATTAATTATCGTTTCTTTATTTAGTTTTTAATGAGGATTAAGGGTTTTATGAAGGCACTTTTTTCAACCGCCATAGGGACAAACCAGCAGTGAACAAGCTATACAAATTAAATCCCTTGAGACTTCCAAAGTAGCTCTGGTGGTGCAGTGGTTAAGAGCTCGGCTAATAACCAAAAGGTCTGCAGTTCGAATCCACCAGCTGCTCCTTAGAAACCCTATGGGGCAATTCTGCCCTGTCCTATAGGGTCGCTATGAGTCAGACTTCGGTTCCTCTGAGTTGCAGTCGACTCGATGGCAACGGATTTGGTTTGTTTGTTACACTTCCAAAACATTGGGTTTTAATCAATGTGTGGAATAAATGCATTGTTGGAAATTGTACTTATTGTGTAGAAGCCTTTTTTTTTTTTTTTGAGTCTTTCTGTATCCAAAGTGCTTTACATTAATAACTTAATCTTTCAACAACACTGTGTGGTAGGTACTATTATTGTTGCCCTTTTCCAGATGAAGAAACAAGTTTAGAGAGATTCCTTTGGTGAATCCAGTTCTTGCTGACTTCAGAAGCCACACTGTAGACCTACGACGTGAAATACTGCCTCTCTATTGATAAACTTTTCTTTAAAGTTAACTCAGAGTAATAGCATTTAAGGTTTTTGTTTTGTATCTAATGTATTCAGTGCTATCTCCACTGCCTTCCGCCTCAGCTCTTAGATCTCTTATCTTTGATTTTCTCATTAAAGTAATTCAGCTCTTTGGCATGGGAAGTGGTAAGAGATGTTGAAAATCACTTAAAACTTGATAAGAATAGCTAATCCTTTTCAATTCTTGTTATAATGAAATTTTATACGTTCTTAATTTCAGTTAGGGTTTTTCATAAAAAGAATCTTGATTGCTGTTGAGGGCACTAATGATTGAAATTGGATCTTCAATTGCAGTGACCATCATCCAGTATCAGCCATTGTTTCAGTTGCATATTCTGTCAGACAGTAGTTATCTAAGAAAGTGGTTGTCCTTCCTGAATTCTAATTAGTACACACCTATAGTTTGGGGGTGGGGTTGGTCATTCACTGACAGCATCGAACTTCTAAGGTTAGAAGTATAACACACACCCACCAACCAGCCTGGATCCTGTTTAACAACAAAGTTTGTTGTACCATATGTTGATTTAGCCCTTCTGTACTAAGGCATTCCATTATATTTATTACCTACTGAATAAAGTAATGCATATGGCAAAAGTTGAATCCAAACCTTAAGGGTTGCCTTCTCAAACTTAGTATGTCAGATTGTGGTGAACACATCTACAGCGTTCATCGTTTTTGGACTTTTGGATTTCTTAGCCTTTTATTTTCTAACTAGTTGTAATTGTTTTAATCTATTTTGTGTGTGTGTGTGTGTGTGTGTGTGTGTGTGTGTGTGTGTGTGCGCTTTAGGTGAAAGTTTACAGCTCAAGTTAATTTCTCATACAAAAATTTATACACATACTGTTTTATGACATTAGTTGCAATCCCCATTCCAGGTTCTCTGTATCCATTCAAACATTTCCTGTCCCCCCCGCCCCACCCGTAAAACCAAATGAGACTAACGAGGTACAGGAGTCCAGTGACAAGGGCCAGAAGGCAGAAGGGGACAAGGAAGCTGGTGATAGGAAACCCAAGATTGAGTAAGGATATTGTTGATGTGTTGTGAGATTGTTAACTATTGTCATAGGGCAACATTTGTAGTAACTGTTAAATGAGAAACGATTTTGTTCTGTAAGCCTTCATCTTAAGTGAGAATAACAGCACAATTGGAAGAGCATAGTCAGTGTCACTGAACTGTGCGTGTAGAAATTTTTGAAACAGTGTATCTTTGGCTGTGTATTTTCACCAAAAAAAAAAAAGGGTTGAGAAGTTAGAGGGTTAATATGTTGTGGGGTTGTTAACCAATGTCATAAAACGTGTACTACTGTTTCATGAGAAACTATTTGTTCTGTAAGCCTTCACCTGAAGTACAATAAAATATTTAAAAAAAAAAACATTTCCTGTCCCTTCCTGCTTTCTCTTGGGTCCAGGGAGGAGCTGCTCATTTGGTCTCGTATATCTGATTGAACTAAGAAGCATACTCTTCAAGTGTATTATTTTTTGTTTTATAGTGCTGTGTGATCTTTGTCTGAAAAGTAGGCTTTGGGAATGATTTTAGTTTTGGGTTAACAGTGTCCGAGAGCCATAGTTTTGGGGGTTCCTCCAGTCTCTGTCAGACCACTAAGTCTAGGCTTTATGTGAATTTGAGTTCTGCTCCGCACTTTTCTCTCACTCCATCCAGGAGTCTCTGTTGTGTTCCCTGTCAGGGCAGTCATTGGTGGTAGCCGGGCACCATCTAGTTCTGGTCTAAGGTTGGTAGTGTCTCTGGTTTATGTGGACCTTTAGTCTCTTGGGCTAATATTTTCCTTGTGTCTTCGGTGTTCTTCATTCTCCTTTGCTCCTAGTTGAGTTGGGACCAATTGATGCATCTTAGATGGCTGCTCACAAGCTTTTAAGATCCTAGACACCACTCACTGAAGTGGAATGCAGAACATTTTCTTAATAAACTTTGCTACACCAGTTGACCTAGATGTCCCCCGAAACTATGGTCCCCAGACCTCAGCCCCAGCTACCCTGTCCATCAAAGTGTTTGGATGTGTTCAGGAAACTTCTTAGCTTTTGCTTCAGTCCAGTTGTGCTGACTTCACCTGTTAATCTATTCTTATCTCTTGCAAAATATCACATGATACACAAGTAGCATCAGTAGCCTCCTCTGTAAGTTGCCAGGAAGATTGCATTTCTAATTTTAATTGTTATCTATTTCTAGCTCATCAAACAACATAATGAAGATGTTTTAGAGTATAAAAGAAGAAATGGGTTGGAATAAACTATTGAAAGACCAACATAGTAAGTGTTCAGTTTTACAGAATGAATAGATAATGCAAGTTAACATGACTTCCTTTTAGATAATGGATTTTGATTTTCTTTTTATTAGGTTTCTGCTTTTTAGCACCCATATTTCTGTTTGTGACTAATTTATGAATATTTAATACCTTGATTCTTAGCATCTTTTAACATAATTATTTTTAATCATTATCCTTTGGCTTTTTGTTCAAAGGAAGTTGTGTTTAAGAATGAGAACAAAATCATTATTTTCTTAAGCAGTACTTTATACATTTCCTTCATAGCACTTAAGTTATAATTATTTGTGTGTATATGTTGTAATATCTGTTTGACATATTCCATTCTTGACTGTAAATTCCATGAGGGCAGGAACTCTGTATGTTTCATTAATCATCATATCAGCGTCTTGCCCAATGCCTGGCCCATCTAAGAGCATATTTGTTGAATGTATAAGGGCAATAGTTGTTTTTTTCCCCCTGAATGACCATGTTGTGATTGTCACTACAACTAACACCCAATTGGAGAATTCCTGGTAAAACCTAGCTGCAGACAAGATTGCATACTCTGCCTGGTCTGTGATTTAAAACAGAGAGAGAGCTTGTTTTATGTATGTACTAGGTGTATTTCTGAAAATCCTTGAAAAGAAATCCTGTAACTCTCCGTTTATAAAGTGAAAAATCACTCTTATAAATCTCAACTTTCATGGATTATGTTGATGAAAGTAGGTAACTTTTATTTGCTGGATAATAAACATAGTCATCACTAATATTCACTTTTTTTTCATACTTAACAACTCTCAAATACTCAGGTCTTGGGGGTTTGATTAGCTTTTGCTTTTTCCTTTCCACTGATTATCAGCTTGCCCATTTCGCTATTTCAATCAGTGAATCAAGAGATAAAAATGAATATATTTTAAAATCGAAACCAGATGCTTTTACTAAAGAGTAGTAAAATAAAATATTTCTTGTTGAAACTTAAATAAAATGAAAGGTTGATACTCTCTGGATTTGTTTTCTAAAAGTTCCTTGCTGCTATAAGTTGAATTATTTAGAGTGGGCTTATTTTAATATTTCTGCTGGCTAATGCTATAGTGCTTGTTTTTGTTTTGTTTTTCTTCATTATAGGTATGCTCCATATAGTGATTACAGCAGTTCCTCTGGATTCACCAATCTTTTGATTGTAAATGAGAGAAAAAAAGTTATATGTGAATATATATTGTCAGCATTTGTGTGTTGCATCAAGTGAAAAAATAAAAATACTTTTGTATTCTTCAGATAATGCATATTGTAATAACTAGCAGAAAATGTTAATTCTAAGGTGTAGTATTGGAAGTATTACAATATGGAAGGTACATTGTGTTAAATGTGCAAGTTGAAAAATTTAATCAATAAACAAAGTTCAGTGTAAATTCAATCTACTCCTGTTGAATACTTGGAGTGATTTTTAGGACATTGATTACTTTCACCATCTGATAATAGAGTTGGTAGTAATTGAGGACACAATGGTAAGAGAACTTATGGAAATGGATTCAAGAATCACTGCTGAAGTGATTTACTCTTTGTCTTAGTTATCTAGTGCTGCTGCAACAAATACCACAAGTAGATGGCTTTCATAAATTTTTTTTCTCACAGTCTAGAAGGCTAGAAGTCTGAATTCAGGGTGCCAGCTCCCGGGGAAGGCTTTCTCTCTCTCTCGGTTTTGGGGGATAGTCCTTGTCATCAATCTTCCCCTGGGCTAGAAGCTTCTCAGAGCAGGGACCCTGAGTCCAAAGGACGTGCTTCACTCCTGGCGCTTCTTTCTTGGTAGCTTGAGGTCCCTCTCCTCTCTGCTCAAATATCTCTTTTTATATCTCAAATTTACTCAAGATACAATCTAATCTTGTAGATTGAGTCCTGCCTCATTAACATAACTGCCTCTGATCCTGCCTCATTAACATCATAGAAGTTAGGATTTACAACACATAGGATAATCCCATCAGATCACAAAATGGTAGACAACCGCACAATACTGGGAATCATGGCCTAGCCAAGTTGACACACATTTTAGGGGAACACAATTATAATTCATAACACTATAACAACTTCTAATTTCCAATCAAAACACTCTTTATTATATTGGGGAGATAGAAATAATCTATTACCCAGAATGCAAAAGAGCCCAAATACTGTATTCTTCTAGAGGAGCCAGTTTGGTAGGTCGTAAAGTAAAGGCAAGTCCTATTACCAGGCTGCAGTCCAACCAATTCTTTTTGGCAGAATTATAAACTCAAGACCAGAAAGGCCATATATAAAGAGAAACCTGTTGCATTTCAGACACTAAATCTGAAAAAAAGGTTTACCTGATTTTGATCTGATAAACATGACTGTGGTTGACACATGATTCTATCTGCACCCTCTTTTTTTTTTTAATGGAAACTCTCCTTTTACATTATTACTAAAGGAACCTTCCTTTGACCATAGATAATTCAGATTTCTCTTGGAAATAATTCTTACTCAGTCCAGCTACTCCTGAACCAAGAAGTAAATCCAGCAACTATTGGCTATGGCCTTTTCTTTACCATATGAATTGGGGAAATCAGAAGGTTCAGGTACAGTGAAATGCATCCTAAATTCAATAGTTGAAACCTAACTCAAGCTATGGTGGTGCAGTGGTTTTAAGAGCTTGGCTGCTAACCAAAAGTTTGGCAGTTCTAATCCACCAGCCACACTTTGAAAACCGTATCGGGCAGTTCTACTCTGTCCTATAGGGTCACTATGCCTTGGAATCAACTTAATGGCAATAGGTTTTTAACTTAAGCTATGGTAACCTAAAAAAGAGAAGTAGTTATCATAAAGATACAGAGTGACTCAGATCCCAAGAACAGAAATGTACTAGGGCCCAGGAATACTGGGCCTAGAACTCAAGTGTCATCAAGACTCTTTCCCTGTGTATCTGCTTCATTTTCTTTCATTGTACATGGCCTGCCCTGCGATTGGTCTCTATAGCACCTTGCAGCGATTGGGCAGTCTACTATGCAAGTAGGGTGCATAAAACCACCCAATAGGATAAAGTGACCTTGTGGGAATTGGTCAATTACTATGCAAGTTAAATGGCTGTGGCCTATCAAGGGTAAACAAATAATTTCCTTTATAAGGATCAGCACAAAGCTGGTTCATATAGGTGGAGTTTAAAGATGTCCCAAATGTCTAACTTTTCCAAGCTGCTGCGTTGTCTCTAACATCAAGTACTCCCTTTCACCTCAGTACTCTTTCTCCTGTCTTTAGGTTCCCTAATTCCCTGCAACGTCTCACAGAACTTACAAACCATATAAAAGAAATGGCTCACGAAGTTATGGAGGCTGGCAAGTACCAAATTTGTTGGTCAGGCATAGACTTCTTCCTGGCCCTCAGTCTCTGCCCAGAGGCACTAAGCTTTCTTGCTCCATGGGCTGGGTCTGCCCTTTGGTAGTGGTGGGCTCTCCTCTGTGCTCTGGAATTGGTGGGCTACAATTATCTTATTTGCACGGCCCCACCAAATCACCTGGGTGGGAGTCACAAGACCATGGCTAGAAAGGCCACACACAAAAGTAATTAAACGCACTGCAACGGGGATTGATCAGTTGTGGTCTGGTGGGAGGACAGTGATTTGAAATTGACAAGAAGTAGGCTTAAATAAGGGCCAGTTGCACAGAGGTTGAGAGGGACCTCACTACCATCAAGAAGAGCCTGGAGCAGAGCACATCCTTTGGGCCTGGGGTCCCTGTGCTGAGAACCTCCTAGATCCAGAAGAGACAGCTGTAACACTGAAGACAGCAAGAGATGGCACAAGACTGCACAGCAGGACAAGCAACAGGAACCAGGCGACTGGCACAAGGCAGCTGTAGTGGGATTGCTGACCACTGAGTGAGAGAAAGCTGAGTACCTTCGGGCAGGAGGCTTGCTGGCTGGCAGAGTAGAGTGCCTCCAGGCACTTGTTGGTGGAGTTATAGCGGTGTAACATTTGCCCAAGCAGTGCAAAGTCCGAGAGAAGTCCCAGCAGCAGGCACAGCCGAAAAGCTGAAAGCTTTCTTGGTTGGAAGCTGTCCTGATTGACTAACTGTATCCTATCTCCTGAGTTGTATCCTGTTACCTCCACGTTGATGCTGATCCTGAGTTGCAGCCTGTTACTTCCCTAATAAACCTCATAACTGTAAGTATGGTCTGTGAGTTCTGTGTGGCCAATGCAGGGCTTCAAACTGGTTCATTCCGGTTTGAACCCCTGCTGAGAATCTACATTTCTAACAAGTTCCCAAACGATGCTAATGCTACTAGTTAGAGACCAATTCTGAGAACCCTAGTAGAGCAGTGGTTCTCAAAGTTTATTATACATAAGAAACACCTGGGGACCTTGTTAAAATGTAAATTTTGATTCAGTATACCTGGGGTGGAGAAACAAATTCTCAGCAGAGTTTCAAACAAGAACGAACTGGTTCAAATCCCTGGGCCGATGCAAAGAATTATTAAACCCAGCAGAGAAGTAGAGAGTGCCACGGGAGGACGACTGGTATTAGATGCGGTGAAAAAGTTATGTCTGACCTCAACCTCATAGAAATCAGCTTTGGGCTGATCCTGATTCTCATCCCTCTTAAAGTTAGATGAGGTCTGACACTACTACATTACAGTATCTATGAAGTAGTCATGTAAATTATTAAGTTGCCATAGAAAAAACAATCCGAATGAACGAAGTTCCTAGTATAAAAAGGGGTAGGGAATCTCGTGTTTATTTTGCTAAGAAGAGGAGGTGAATAGATTTTAGAGTACTGAGTGACCTCCAAGAATACATTAAGAATTTACCATCTTGAGTACCCATTCCCCTTCATTTTACCTAAATATCTTAGGCCATCAAGGGTGCTTATCAGGACTTTTTCTTAATTTCTTGCCAATTTGTCTTCCTAGATATTCTTCTAAATTTTCACTTTATACCCACATTGATCTGTTGAAAAGTACAGATTATAGTCTAAAAATTAAGAGTATAGTCTAAAAATTAAAGCAATCAGTTTCTGGTTTTCTCTGGAGTGTAGGAAATCACTTAGTCTTTGAGAATTGCTTTTAATTATATAGCACTCAAGCCTCAAATACATATAATTAATATTGCCAATAGAGGACCCTTACAGTATGTTTCAAGACTAATCTTTGTCAATGATCACAATTAAGAGGAGGTCATCTGAGGTAGGACAAGTTATCTCTGCCCATAGAGTCTTGTTTTCCCAACTAGACGAAGAGAAATGTCAAGGATGCACTCAAGGGCAGCATTATAAACAATGTGAGTAATGGCTAGGAAACTATTGTCCAAGCCTTACATAGTCTTCTGTGGCAAAAACCTAATGTAAAATTCTCTTGGGTTTGAGAGAAACAGCTTGCCATAGAGTGAATTTGACAAACTGTGGGCATGTGAAAAGAAATTTGCCATCAATATGGAAAGCCACATATCCTATGAGAGCAGTAGAGTAGGTAGAAAATTGCCTTGATCTGAAAGACATGAGCTTTTAACTAAGATAAAAAGAATCTAGGGAAGTGGCACTATTTATCTCCAAGTTCTATTTTATGTTTAGATTTTTTAAGTTCTTAAATGCTAATATTAAAAAAAAAAGAACTTCTCCCCAGAACATGAGCAACTTGAAAGCTTCTTTGTCCCTGCTGTTGTTGTTAGCTGCTGTCAATTTGGCACCTGACTCATCGTGGAAAAATGGCGTGGTAGAGGCATCTGACCTCTAACTTCACAAGGGAGGAGGAGGAGAATCAAGATCAACTGCCCAAGGCTGATTCCTATGAGGCGGAGGTCAGACACAGCTTCTCCCTCCAACTTTTTTTTATCAATTCTGACACCAGCCGTCCCTCCCATGACGTTCTGTACTTCTCTGCTGGGTTTGATAAATCATTGCAGTGGCCACACAGAACTTACAGACCATACTCACAGTTACAAGGTTTATTAGGGAAGTAACACGTTACAATTCAGGATCAGGAACGACTCAGGATACAGTTCTTTGGTCAGAACAGCTTCTCAGCTATGCCCACTGACAGGCCTCTCCCTGGCCCTCGGTCTCTTGGGCCTCTTGGGCCGGCCCGGCCTCTGCCCTGCTCAGGCAGGTGTTACAAAGCTCTTTAGCTCTGCCAGTAAGTGCCCAGTGGCACCTCACTCTGCCACAAAGCCTACTTCCCAAAGGCTCAGCATGTCCCATGTGGGCCAGAAAGCACACTATGCTGTCTTGTGCTGCTGCTTTTGCTGCTGTTGTTTCTCTGCCACTACTTTTTGTTATCTTGTGCCATCTCTGGTGTTACAGTTCTCTGTCACCTGGGTCTAGGAGGTTCTTAGCACGGGGGCCCTGGGTCCGAAGGATGCACTCTGCTCCTAGCTCTTCTTTCTTAGTGATAGTGAGGTCCCCACTGTCCACCTTTGGGATGGCTCATTTTAGGTCTGATGGGATGGCACAACTGACCAGTCCCCTCATTAAAGTTCCATTTACCTTATTTGCATGATCCAACCCTCACAAGTGTACCATGTACCTTATTTGCATTATTAGCAAGCTATCTAATCCCCTTAGTGGGCCAAAAGAACTTCATATGCATGGTCCCCCCCAGTCATTTGGTGGGAGTTACAAGACCATGGCGAGAAAGTCCATATAAAAGCGATCCATCGTACTACACATGGCAGCCCCATGTGTTACAGGGTAGAACTGCTCCATGGGGTTTTCTTGGCTCTGATCTTTACAGAGAAGAGCACTTCTGGTGCAGTGGTTAAGTGCTCAGCTGCTAACCAAAAGGTCAGTAGTTCAAACCTACCAGCTGCTCTGTGGAAGAAAAGACTGGGTGATATGCTCTGGGAAAGATTTCAGCCTAGGAAACTCTATGGGGCAGTTCTACTCTGCCCTATGAGTTGGAATCCACTCAATGGCACATAGCAACACCAATTTTAGAGAAGCAGATTGCCAGGCTTTTCTTCTGTGGTGCCACTGGGTGGGTTCAAACCACCAGCCTTTACGTTAGCAGCTGACTGCAAACCACTTGTGCCACCCAGGCTCCTCTTTGTCTCTACTGTACTTTTTATACACAATACCATGATGATTCTCCACATTTAGTGATTATTTAACATATGTCTCTAATCTTAAAATAATTCATGTTTGATAAACTTTTTCTTTCAGACTCTGATGAGTTTTTTTGAAACTGTATTTTTTTATCCCAACACTTGGCATTATCTACTTTGCCAAATATGATACCCGTATTTTTCAGAGAAAAAACAGTAAAGCAAAATTGGAACTTTATTATATGAGATTTTAGAGGAGGATAAAGTGAAGAGAAAAATAACAGAAGCAAGTAAGTTTTGCAGTGGAAAGATTGCGTAAAAGAAAGTAGGTGAAGAAAACTTAAAAACTGCTAACATAATCATGATACCTTTGTCCATTTTACTTGTTCAGTAAGTGTCAAAGAGTGTAGACCAGGTATATTGATTGTGGAATGGGAGAAATTGTTTTCACACCTTGCATCTCCCAGCTGGGATGGCCACCTCCAACCTAGAGGACATGATAAGCTCCCCACTGGATCTTGCTTACTGATAAGTGATGATGGAATACAATGAATCCCATCATGTGCAGAGCGTTGTAAGGGAGCCCTAAGCTTTGATTTAGGCTGGAAGTCAGAGTCTAGTACCACCTCCTCCAACTACCTGAGCACATTTTCATACCTAATGTGCTTTAGAATTCACAACTACATTTTACAGGCTCAGAGCACCAAGTCAGAATAGGTGTCTGGCTCTGAAACTTATGCTCTTAACCACAGTCTTATATTATCTCAATTCTTTCATATGTAACATAGGGATAATCAACATTCCCCCGCCTACTCTTTAGGATTGTTAAGAGAGTGAAACACAAAATAGATGTGACAATACTTTGGGAAAAGTTTTCAAAGCCCTGTATAAATGTGTGTTATTTTCGCATCGTTTACACTACATTGGCTTTAGCCGAAGTCCTTAGCTTGCATTTATTACTGATACCTGGTCAGAGATTTCTGACCTCATTGATGTTGGCCTTGGCAGCTACCTTTGAGAAAAGATGTTGATTCTGTGTCTCTGAAAACTTAAACTATAACTTCTGTGAGTGACAGCAGAAAATGGGTCTTGTTCATGGGAGAATGCCCTGGAACAGTGCCTAGCACATAATAGATGTTTGATAAATATTTGTGAAATAAATTATAATGAATCCCCAGTGTCTTCCACTGCCCTTACATACTGTAGACATTTCAACATATAGACAGTTCAGTTGACAGATTGGGTGACTGCTGTGCAACCTGGGATTGATCCAGAACACCTCAGACTACACCAGACCCTGAGTCTATAACTGAATTCTGAAGGGGAGCTTAAAACAGTATCCTGGGGGCCATCATCACAAATGTTTACTCAGAAAGAATCCTTTTTTTTTTTTTTACGGGATCTTTGGGGTTTAATGCTTACAACATATTAAATAACAATATGATGCATGTATGAGTTCATTTCTATGGATTTGCTGCCTTTGACTGTTTCCTTTCTCTAGCAACCAAGTTAAAATTCAGCTCTAAGTCCAAGAAGGAATGAGCCACAGTAGTAGACAGGTTTGGCTTGTTTTGTCAGTCTGTCCTAGTTGCTGGCAGCTCTTTAAACATTCTACCACACCAGTGAGATATCTAATAGCTAGTTACCAGAGGATGTGTACTTGATGCTGGTCAAATATAACAAGTGTACTAATCTGCATGTTGCTATTTTCAGGACTACCAACTTCTTGGAGCTCTCGTGGAGCGGTGGTGAAGAGTTCAGCTGCTAACCAAAAAGTCAGCAGTTCAAATCCGCCAGCAGCTCCTTGGAAACCCTATGGGGCAGTTCTACTCTGTCCTGTAGGGTCGATATGAGTCAGAATCAACTCAACCACAAAGGGTTTTTTACCAACTTCTTGGTGAAGAGTCTGGGTCTAGTCCCTCTTTGTGCTGCTTGGGAGTCTAAACTTGACCCCTCATTAACTACATTTACCCAATTGCCCTTGTTAAGTGCTGTATCACCAAAGATAGCTATCTACTCTTCTTGAGTATCTAAAAAACCCTTCTGACTATTGGCTCGTACTCTTCGTGTGAAAATATGTTAAATATTAGAATTGGGTTCAGGACTAGAACCTCTGGGAAATTTTTTTTTTTATTGTACTTAAGGTGAAGGCTTATAGAACAAATAGTTTCTCATGAAACAGTAGTACACATATTGTTTTATGACATTGGTTAACAACCCCACAACATGTCAACCCTCTAACTTCTCAACCTTTTATTTTTTGGTCAAAGTGCACATAGCCAAAGATACACCATTTCAAAAATTTCTACATGCACAGTTCAGTGACATCGACTACGCTCTTCCAATTGTGCTGTTGTTCTCACTTTAAGATGAAGGCTTACAGAACAAAATAGTTTCTCATTTAACAGTTACTACACATGTTGCCCTATGACAATGGTTAACAATCTCACAACACATCAACAATATCCTTACTCAACCTTGGGTTCCCTATCGCCAGCTTCCTTGTCCCCTTCTGCCTTGTGGCCCTTGTCACTGGACTACTGAACCTCATTAGTCCCATTGGTTTTACGGGGTTGTCTCTGGGAAATATTTTAAGTTATTCACATAGCAAATATTGTGCCTATTACATGCAAGAGAACTTGGAGCTGGAAAAACCATGTTCATGCCCTTTTTATTATTATTATTATTCATGACCATCAGTAAGTCCCAAGACCCCGTCCACACTACCCAGTGTTGTCATTTGCTAAAGGGAATAATTGTTACCTCTTTCACAGGGTTGGAGTGAGGATGAAAGGAGATAGTACATGTGAAATTGCTTTATAAACTGTCAAGTGCCTGTTGTGGATTAAGTTGTGTCCCCCAAAAATATGTCTTGTAAATTCTAACCCCTATACCTGTGGTTGGAACCCTGGCAACGCAATGGTTAAAAGCTCAACTGCTAACCAAAAGATCGGCAGTTTAAATCCATCATCTGCTCCTTGGAAAGCCTGTGGGGCAGTTCTACTCTGTCCTTAGGGTCACTGTGAGTTGGAATACATTCGATGGCAACGAGTTTTTTGTTATACCTGTGGTGGCCGCGTAGTGGTTAAATGCTACTGCTGCTAACGAAGAAGGTTGGCAGTTTGAATCCACCAGGCGCTCCTTGGAAACTCTATGGGGCAGTTCTACTCTGTCCTATAGAGTCGCTATGAGTCGGAATTGACTCCATGGCAACGGGTTTAGGTTTTGTTTTGTTTTTTTGGTGGTTATAATCCGATTTGGGAATGGGTTTTCTTTGTTATGTGAAGGGGCCATATCAGTGTAGGGTGTGTTTTAAGCCAATCACCTTCGAGATACAAAAAGAGCAGATTAGGACAGAGAAGCAAATAAGAAGAGCTGGGGGAAGATAGATGCCACACCACACGAAGCTCATGATCGCCAAGGAACAGAAGCTGAAAAGAGGCAAGGACCTTCCCCCAGAGCCATAGAGAAAGCCTCTCCCTAGAGCTGGCGCTCTGAATTCGAACTTCTTGCCTCGTAAACTGTGAGAAAATAAATTTGTTTGTTGAAGCTACTCACTTGTGGTATTTCTGTTATAGCAGCACTAGATAACTAAATGCCCACCAGTCCCTTCCAGAGATTAATCATTTAGGGAATGTTATAAGCATAAATTATTGGTTTCCATATTCAAACCGTGACAAATTTCTTGTGGCCACAATGAGGCAAGTAAGTGAAACTAGGGGGAAGAGACTAAAAATTTAGCATGTTCAGTTGATGTGGAAATACTAATTTCATGCCCCCAAAGGAATATACAGAGTCGTTGGGACTTACATTTAAAGTCCTTTTAACAGTGAATTGCCTAGAGATTCAGCCATTGCCTTGGTATTTTCTTGTGATTCTGAACATCACCCACTGGACTAATGGAAGGTTGAGGCTACCGTTACATTACTCTGCGTCTCTAGGAAACTTTCCACTACCTTTTTCTCCCCTAGGAAAGCGAACATTGTGGGTGAGATAGTGGCTTCAGCTTACATCCGGCATGATAAATCAAGTCCACGTCTTAATCCCGTTGCGAATCCTGAAACATTTCCAGGCTGCTCTGAGGAGATAACATCCAATGGAAAAGAAGGGGTCAGGCAGGCGATGACGGCTTCTCGGTTCCCGATCCCTTTTCTGAAATGCCTCCATGAGCTTTCCGGGACAGCAAGAGTGCCTGGAGAGAAACCCCTACCCATCTCCCGGGGCCGCCGGGGCGGCGCTGGGCGGTGGTCGGCGCCCCTCCCCGGGGCGGGGCGCACCACCCAGCCTGCGGCGCCCGGGTAGCCGGCGCCGGGCACTCGAGACTGCAGCTTGGCGAACGGCGGGCGCGATGTATCTCCGCAGGGCGGTCTCCAAGACCCTGGCGCTGCCTCTGCGGGCGCCCCCCGGCCCCGCGCCGTTCCGAAAAGACGGTGAGTGCGGGGCGCGGAACAGGGCGCCTCTGCCCCAGTCCAGGCTTGAGAAAGACCGGCGCCTCGAGCGCGGATTCCGCTGGCGCACCTGCACCCCGGCGTGAGGACGCCCCCCAAGTCGGCCAAACCTGACCCAAAGCAGCAGAAGGTTGGGATTGGGCGTGGGGACAGGGATGTGGGGGAAGGGGTCGCGGAAAAAAGCGCTCCGAAGATCTTGGAGTCTTTGAAAGTGGGGAACTTTTCCAGCGCGGCTTCTGAATCCAGACTAGATTTTTTTCGGGTTCGAATCCTGATGGCGGAGAAATTCTTTAACTTCAGTTTCCTCATATGTAAAATGAGGATAATAAATTAAAACCGCTTAGAAAAATGCCTCCTTAACAAACGTGTAGGTCACCACTTTTATTGTTATAGTGACCAATTCGCACTGTAACATGAGGAATCAGAGGAACGAGTGGGAAGATTGGCACTGATCAGGGAGCCTGGCTGAGCGTGGGGAGGGAGTGCCTGGCCCCGTAGACGTTGAGTGAATGTTCGATGAATTAATAAACGCACGATTCGTCCAGGGCTTGGCAGCCTGAACCCGGCGAGCGCTTGGGCTCTGGGCATCCACCTGGTGAGGAAGCGGCCTTCGGGTCACTGTCCTTTGGGGCTCAGGTAGACATGGAGCTATCCAGCTGTTTAACTGTGTTGTCCAGGTATCACCTTTATTTAGCTTTGGAGAAGCATGGGAAGAGGAGCGTATTCAGAAATTTCCTGAAGGAGAAGTTGCAGTGCGAGCTGGAAGCTGATGAAATAAAAATTGACATATACGAAAGCGTTTAGTATATTGCCTGCAACATAGTAGGTGCTTAGGAAGTGTGAGCCGGAGAGATTGTTTTTCATCCCAGCAGCTCGCGGCCTTGGGTCCAGGTTTGCGCTCCCTTGCAGTTCTCCTCACCCGGCTGCTTCCTAGTCCTTACCAGTCAGTCTACTAGTCGGTCCCACTCCCCTGCTGATTAGGGTGGGGAGGGGTCCTTAGACAAACTCATGGAAAGTTCTTAGTCTCGCTTCACTTAGCCTGTTTCTTCTTGATGCTTCCGAAGTAGCTTCAGCTCAGAGCGTGGATTCGAGCTGGAGAGAATGACTCCTGAGGAAATTTCCATGGGCCTTTTTTTTTTTTTTCTTTTCACTTTGATTAGGCCTTTGGTGTTGGTGGGAGCGGAAGAAGGTCGATCCAGCTAGCTTCATTTCTCTCGTAGAATGCTAGTGGGAAGAAGTTGCCCCCAAAGTAACAGAAGTAAGGCCTCTTGGTTTTCGTAAATCTTTACACCGAGTAAGATGGAGCAATTTTTTTCACCGATCAAATTAGGAAGATTTATTCATTTTAAGCTTCTAAAAATTATGAGGGTGCTGTGTTGAGGGGAAGAGGAGAAAGATGAGCCTCATGACCACCGCCTTTTGTGTTGTATGTCTGCAGCCCCCACCGTCACCACGCACAAACATATACACACCCTTTTTTTGCAGTTGCTCGTGTTTCAAATAATTTCCTCCCCAGCTTGGGGCAAAGTAAAAGTAATTAAAACTTCTAAATACGTAGTTAACAATACTGGTTGTCTTTCTCTAATTTTCATCCAATTGCTATTTTTGTGGCACAGCTTTGTTTGTGTATTTTAAGAACTACTATTATTGACTGGAAACTTAAATTTGTCTTCAGCCGTGGACATTAATTAACTTTTATTGGTACTTTCAACTCTGATGAAAAATAAAATTGTTTTAGTTTTATATAAGGAAGAAATCTTAACTGTGCCTCAACAAATTTTGTTCTTCCCTTTTTGCTTTTAAAAATGTAACTCTTTAATGAATAAATAATTAAGTCTATACTACCAAAACCTGAACTGCCGCATAGAGTTTCCAAGGAGTGGCTGGTGGATTCGAACTGCGGACCTTTTGGTTAGCAGCTGAGCTGTTAACCACTGTGCCACCAGGGCTCCAGGTCTATAATAGATCGTTTGAAAAAACACAGAAAGGAAAATAGAAAATAGAAGTCACCTGTAATCCTACCACTCAGAAGACCACTATCTACATTTTGGTATATAGTGTTCCAGACTTTTTTTTTCCTCTTATGCATTTTTTTTTTTTCTTATTCACATTGCTTCCACAAATCTGGAATAGTCTTTACAGATTATTTTGCTATTTTTCACTTGATATATTGTAAATACTTTCTCATGTAAGTAAATATTCTTATCTAAGGTTCATAATGTCTATTTGTTTCACATTGTATGATTGTATTAACATTTGTCTAACAAATCATTTAATTAATGCTTTTTGGATATTTATTTCCCATGTCATTGCTATTTTTAAATAGCTTTGCCATAATTGTATTTGTACTTAAGTCTTTACATAAATATCTGATAATTTTCTTTATTTCTTCCTATTTAAAAAATCTTTTTGGTGTTTCTGTCTGGTTGAGAAATAAAAACACTATACATTTGATAAAAAAGTGTATTTTTAAGTTTGTAAAAATACAAAAGTTCTGCCCCAAATCAAAGCCTGAACCTCTTATCATAGTTTCTTTGGGCACTGTTTTAGGGAAAAAAAATATTTGTCCAAGACAACCATTTATTTATATCCAATCTAAGAGCATAACCATGAAATCATTTTGATTTTGCTACTAACAAGGTTTGTAACTAGCGTAAATGTCTTAAGATTTCCCCTCTGCAAATCGTAATTTCTCACTACTCCCCACGCCCATACCCCCTCTGTGAGGCCATATCAAATTACTTTGCACTTTCCTGGTAACAAATTCTCATGGTTTTGCACACGTTGTGCCTTCTGCCTCAAGTGCCATTTCCCTTTCTCTGACAAACTCCTACTTTACTTCAAAACTCAGGTCAAGTGTCTCTTCAGTTGTGACAGCTGACCCAACTACCTGAGTTTTTTCACTGTACTTTCATGCTATTGTGCCTCTTTTGCTTACATCCATTACAGACAGCACTCGCCATACTGTATCACAATTTCTAATCTACAATTATATGTCTATACATCTGTCTATTCCTTCTAGACTGTGAGCTATTTGAGGCTAGGGACCTTGTCTGTCTTGTTCACAGTTGTATCCTCAATGCTTCTAACAATGTCAAACACACAGTTAGGTGTTCAACTGTATTTGTTGAATGAATAAATAAATGTCTTTCTTTATCCTTAAAATAAAGAATTTAAAATACGAACTTTAAGCTCCTTCCAGCTTTGAGTCTATTGTAGAATTTTTAATTCCAGAGCATTATGGTGTGTGCAAATTCTAGCACTACAGAATAAATATATTTAAATATAATAATGCAGTACTTTTATCTATTTCTATTAGTTTGTATAGAATTGTACTTCTATTTCAGATATGATTTTGTTGCAACATTTGCCTTAAATAAACTTAAATCTGTCCATTTTTGCTTTATATTAAAAAAATTTAGGTTTCTTCTATCTCTACATTTGTATTATTGATTTATAGAAATGTGTTGGATTTCAACATGTTTTCTCTAATATAGTAAATACAAATACAAATACAAATCATATTTTAACTATAAATATATTTAATTCACTTAAAAATAAAATAGTGTTTCCGTTGAATCCTATAGTGGAGTACATGCAGTAAATGGATTTCGTTTGCTAATATGAATTTCATTTGACAATGAAAATAGTTTAATGCTTTTGCCATTTCCTTTTACCCACACCTGCACCTTTTCCAAGAAAAGCATGATGCTAAGCATCAAGATGACAGGTTTCATAAGCACTTATCAAATTAGCTTGGGAGAATGTCAAGTGGAATTATCACTTGCCTTGTTATACTGTGCTCCCTTAAGCTAAAGTCACTTGATGTTAATAGATTCTGGGTTCACTAAGGGGAAATTTTTTTAAAGATGTAATTATTTAAAATAGTTTTATTTCCATGGTGGAGCTAACTGTGTTTAAACTTGTTTTCCTAGCATCTCTTCACTGGATGTCATCTAACAAACTTCCTGGATCATCTGGCTCAAATATGATATATTATCTGGTTGTAGGTGTCACAGTCAGTGCCGGTGGATATTATGTAAGTGTTTAAATAACTGTAGTGTTGAGGAATTCAGATATTTTACAGCCTGTGGTAAAACTCAAAGCAATGTCAAGGTCAGGCCATGACATTAATTAAATATTCAACATCGCCAATGATTTAAATGTCATTAAGCATATGCATTTGAAAAATAGCTTACAATTATTAGAAGTATAAAGTTTTCATACGAATATATCAACTAAACTATTAAAAATATTTTTTGAAGTATAAAATCAACATTTTTTTTTTCCACACAAAAATCTATACATACATTGTTATGTGACCCTAATAGCTCTCCCCATTCTGTGACAGCACACTCCTCCTTTCCACCCCTGATTCCCCAAGTCCATTCAACCAGCTCCTAACCCTCTCTGCCTTCCCATCTCACCTCCGGACAGAAGCTGCCGGTTTAGTCTCTTGTATCTACTTGAGCTAAGAGACACACTCCTCATGAGTATCAGTTATGTCCCACAGTCCAGTCCAATCCCTGTCTGAAGAGTTGGCCTTGGAAATTTCAACGTTTCCTAATACTACTAAATATGAATGACTTTCAGTAAAACTGGTGCTTTTATAAATACTAGTAATAATAGCTGACAATTGTTGATTGCTTATATGCCAGGCTCATGGCTCATTTAATAATTACAACAATTCTTTAAAGTAGGTAGTTTTATTAACATTCAACAGTAAATATTGTTGAAAAGTTAATTAGCTTTTTATTGTTTAAAAAACTAATATTCATAAATTTTTTAAAAATTCAAAAAGTATAGACATATATGAAATAAAAAATATGTTTTTCTCCCCGACGCCTCTGTCACTCCCCCAAGGTAGCCACTGTTAAATTTGTAAGACAAAGCTTTTAATAGCATGACTTTGGAGTGGAAATAATGGAACACTTGTGAGTTAAATAAGTAAGATAAACCTATTGAATCAGTCACCATTTTGTCATAAATTTTCTAAATCAAAATCTAATTGTCGTTATGGATAAAAGTAAAGTATAAGTTATTTGGAAGCTATAAGAATATACAATTACTCTATACTTTGGTATAACCCTACAGAAATATACATAAAGGGGTAAAGGAGAGGGTCAGCGAAAATGAAGGAAACTCTCAGTGAGATGAGCTGACACAGTAGCCAAAACAATGTGCTCAGACATATCAGAGATCATCAGCACTGGGCAGTGTTTCCTTCTGTTATACATAAGGTCACCACAGTTCGGAGCGGACTCCATGGCAATTAACCACAACACGAAGTCATCGCTAGGAGCTGTTTCATGGGACTATGTAGGATGGCCAAACCAAAATACATATTCTAACCTTCAGAATTTTAAGAGCCTCAAGAAAATAGGAAAATTCAAACATGTCCCTTATATTGTTGTCCTCCACTAATCTACCAGATTTCACCCATATCCAGACTCCTTTGCTCCTACCATCTTTCTACTGCTTAATGTTGAATCGACAGCCCAGGGCCACTCTAGTTGGATACAGGCCGCTGGAAAATAGAGATTGGGAATAGGCCATGCCATGATCTGGGAAGCTGGGAGACTGAATTTCGTCTGGACCTCCCTGTACCCCCAATTAAGTTTATCAGTGCCAGACATGAACCTTTCCATCTGGAAATTCTTTCTTTGCAAAGCAAAATCTTAAACTGGAAGGTTATAACACGGCTATTCATAAAAACCCTTTCTGGTCTTGTTCTGTTAGCACAGTAGGTGTGGAAGTTGGACAAGGTGATGATCTCTAAATCCCCTTCCATCTCTAAAATTATGTTGTTTTAATTTTGAATGTTGGAAACCTTAATTCTCAGGACTCTTAGTCTACTTTCAGGAGCAAATAGAATGTGAGGAACTTGAAAACCTGTATTTTGCCCCCCTCCCCTTCTGTATCCTATACTAAAATAAAGTCTATATTCCATTTTGATCAGTTGAACCCAGGGATGCTCAGTAGCCAAGACTAGTTTTTCATTTCCAAGTAAAATCTTTTACTATTAGGGCCCCTTAGAAGCAGAGAGCCCTAGGTTACATCAATATTTTGAGGGCCTAGGTATATTAAAAAAAAAAAAAAGAAATGCCAGAACTGGTTTATAAAAGTTGTGGCACATTTTAAATGCTAACGTTTAATAAATGAATAATATAATTTGGAAATAACGTCCAAAGTCTAAATTTCAGACCCTCTCTTCTAATAGTCCTTACTTCTGCTCTGTGCTTGGCTGTGCTAGATTCTCTGGGCCAGACAGGAGTGTGAATTATTTTAATACTGTCATCTCTTCTACTCTGCCTAATGTTAGTCTTTTTCCTCACGTTGTGTTTTGGCCCCTTGAGCAATAAGACTGATGTCCCTTGAGATGTTGCTGCTGGGATGGTCATTTCCGGGTCATGAACTTTTGTACTGGTTCAGCTTTAGTGGACCCAAAACCGAGGACACTGACTCAGCATATTGGTCCTGTAGCTGTCAGGACCTCCCACTTTGCTAGGAAAATACTCCCTGCTGTTATACAAAAATGTCCATTGTCATTCCTGCTGATCCTGTTTGCTCTGCAGGTTTCAAAGCCAGCTGATTCAATCTGAATTCACTAGACTTTGGGGAATTTGTTAAAGGGCTACTTTTGCATCATTCCCACCTCAAGATTACAGATTTTCCAAAACTAGACTGTAACAGTGTAATTTTACCATACTATAAAATGGTTTGTAATTTGCGTATAATTTTTAGTAAGGTGCTTTGTTTCTGATTATAAGAAATTTAGAAAATACTATGTATAAATATGTAAATTTTAAAAATCTATACTCCTATCAATAAGAGATAAACTACTACCAACATTTTTAACAAAACTGAGAGGATACACACCATATTATCTGAATAGTGAGATTTTCATTTTTTAAATATTTTTGTCTAATATGAATACGGAGCCCTCGTGACACACTGGTTAAGAGGTACGGCAGCTAACCAAAAGGTTGGCAGTTTGAATCCACCAACTTGCTCCTTAGAAACCCTATGGGGCAGTTCTACTCTGTCCTATAGGGTTGCTATGAGTCAGAATCAACTCTATGGCAACAGGTTTGGTTTTTAATATGAATAGAGGCCAAAGAAGACTATTTAAATATAACAAGAAAGGAAGCCTGTACATTGTCTATGATTAAGATAGGTTTATTCCCAATACTGTTCTCAAGTAACCTACCAAAACCTGTTGCTGTCCAGTCGATTCTGACTCATAGCGACCCTATAAGAAAGAGTAGAACTGCCCCTTAGGGTTTCAAAGGAGCAGCTGGTGGATTCAACTGCACACCTTTTGGTTAGCTGCTGAGCTCTTAACCACTACACCACCAGGGCTCCCAAGTAACCTACTGTCAGGCCATATTGCTGCTTTACGGAGTCAACTTAACAGCAACAACAGTGACTAACCCTAGTTCACCAGAAGAATCTTCATTAGTATAGACAAATATATCATTTTGGAAGTTTTAAAAAATCTTTTTATATTGAGATAATTGAGATTCACATACAGTTACAAGAAATAATACAGACAGACCCTGAAAACCCTTTACCTCGTTTCCCCCAATGGCAACATTTTGCGGAACTGTAATACAATATCACAATCCATTAACCCTATTCAGATTTCACCAGTTTTCCACGCACTCATTTGTATGTGTGTGTATGTATGTATTCTGTGTAATTTTATCACCTGTATAGATTCATGTATTTATCATCAAAGTCAAGATACAGGACAGTTCCATCACCACAGGGATCCCTCATTTTGCCCTTTTATAATTCCACTCACTTCCCTCCTGCCCTCCCATCCCTGCCTCCCAACCTCTGGCAACCACTAACCTGTCCTCCATTTCTATAATTTTTTTCAGTTCAAGAATGTTACATAAATGGAATCATGTAACCTTCTGAGATTGGATTTTTTTCACACAGTATAAATAAATCTCTGGACATTCACCAAAACTGTTGTATCAATTCCTTTTTACTGCTGAGTAGTATCCCATGGTATAACCCACTGTAGAATACCTAAGCTGGTTCTAGTTTGTGGCTATTATAAATAAAGCTACGATGAACATTTTTGTACAGGTTTTTGTGTGAACAAAAATTTCCTCTTCCCTGGGATAAGTGCTGGAGGAGATTTTTAAATGCCTGACAGGATATCTTGGTCCTAGAATAGTTTATTTCTTCTTCTTTGTCTTTATCTGTTTATCTAGTGTGCATGTTTTCTGTTATCTTTGACCCCTTTTACAGCATTTGTTTCTTTCCTATTCTAAGCATTCTACTTAATGGCAAAGGTTTCAAAGGGGAAGTAAAAGGGTAGATGGTGGGTATGGTTTCTCTCCTTTGCTGTGTTGTGATTATGGTTTAGGCTTCTAATGATGATCACATGGAGAACTGCATATATCTTTGAACTTGCCATGGTAAATCTAAGAGCTCAAGAAATAAACTAAGGACATATTTACTTTCAGACTTACAAGACAGTCAGATCAGAGCAAGCCAAACACACGGAACATATGGCAAATTTGAAAGAAAACAACAAAGCAGGGTTATATCCACTTCAAGGTAAAATGAATTTCTTTATTATTGTTTTTTCTTGAGGTAATAATTCCCATCATTTCAGTCTAGCAATGAAAACTATTTGTTTTTGGCTTCTTTACTAACTTAATCCGGAATAGCTCTGGGTATTTCATTCAGAAAAGAAAAATGCAATCAAAATCTAATGAATATTGCTATGCATTTTGGATAACTGCATTTTTTTTTTTTTTTTAAAATGAGGGCATATGATGAATGAAAAAGTTGTACATTATACTACTGACCAGTAGCTTTGACTTCTTTGTGCGATATCACTTTTCCCCTACTTAGGC